TATATATTGACTAGAAAGTTGAGAATTCTGACCCAAGCAGATAATCTTCGTCCCGAAGAAGATTTAATTCCGCCTCATGTCAACCATCACCATCTGACCAGTGTGTGTGCCAATTTGAATTTCAATACTGCATTCGCAGAAATGGTTGCAGGAAGCTTTATTGTAAAGGCTATAATAAATTCTTTGCAAATTTTGATTTGAAATATACTTACAAGTCTAAAATATGAAAATGCTAGGGCACTTGAAACTTGTTCTACAATTATTTCAGATGAATTTACTTTCACCATCAATTTTAAGTCTGCATAATGATGGCGGAAGTATGGAGCGCAAACTGAGTATATCAGAATTGCTTGGTGCATTCAAATTGATAAATGAACAAGATCAAAATGCACTGCTCGAACTGATCTCCGAAGCTTCTGGACTTACTGAAGCTATACAACAAATTCATGTTTGTTTACATATTTCACATTTTTATCAAAATTCCTAACGTCCATCTGCAGATTGAAATTTCAGCTAAAAGCAAACGATATGAAAAGAGAAAAATACATTTCTGCATTACTTGTATAATATTTGATCAAATCTCATTCAAACATCTAGGTCAATTCAGTTAGATTGTGATGACTAACTCATAACTGGATGAATAAACCTACTAAATCCTTAACTGAAAACTTACAAAAGCACTCAATTTCGAACAATAACTTCCACCATGAAAATTCTAACAGGATGGAAATCTGAGCCTAATTAAATGAATTCAATCGAGACATAATTAACTAAAACTGATTGAAACACATTTAAATCTTACAAAAAAAAATCGAGATTTTAGAAAAAACTTGAAATGGAAAATAACAATATGCGCCACGGCAAAGGTATCGATGGACAACCCCTGTATTTCACGAAACAAAACGTCAGCGAGTTGTACGGCAAAATAGAAAGCGATAAAATCGATACATTTGAGAAACTCTACAAGACATTAAGCAAACCACAAGTTAATTTTTAATTTAAATAAGCAAAAATTGAGATTTCATTTAAACTAGGTAAGATAAATTCCATAAATTCTTGTGAAAATTTTCACTTTTTAAAATTAACTCATCCCATGTTGTTAAATTACACATTTGCATTCGCTCATTTATGGCATTCTCGAACTTTTATATTGCAATTCAATTTAAATAATATCAATTTCAGTTATTAAATAAAACATTGCAAGCTTCTTTCAGTTCTGTCTGAGTGCTTCTCGTTTCTAACGTCACTTAAATCCGTATTCATATTACGACGCCGCTCTAACGCTGCGACCTCAACAAAGTGAAACAGATTGTTTAATACGTGGAAAATGTTACAGATTGGAGAAATGAATGCTACTGGTTACGCAGTACTAAGCAAAAGACAGCTAAGACTCATTTATGGTCAGCGATCACCGTATTACCATCCAGTTGCGCTGAAGAGACTGTCGAAGTTGCTCGATCAAAATGACGGAATACAGAAATCGCTTGAAAGTGAACTGAAGAAATTAGCAAAATCTGAAAAATTTGGCTTACAAAAAGAAGAATTACACCGAAGACAAAAGCGCTTCGGTATTTCCCTTTCACCCTTCCTGCTGTCACCATTTATACTAGCATCGGGAGCTCTGTCACAGCCAGTCCTTCTTTCTCCAGTAATCTTGTCACCTATAGTCTTGAGTCCAGCGATTCTCGGACCCTTCATCCTAAGCCCTTGGATATTCAACCCAGTGATCTTATCACCTCGAATTCTTGCTCCTTTCATCCTCAGTCCTTTCATTTTCTCTCCTCTAGTGCTATCACCCGTTGCACTACATCCATTCATCCTTTCCCCCGGCATATTCAATCCGCTAATTCTATCACCGCTGTCTTTATCACCCTTTATACTTTCACCTCAGGTGGCAACGCCACTGATACTATCACCGATGATACTAAACCCGCTGATACTGAATCCAATGGCTTTGTCACCACTCGTTTTCAGTCCCTTCATTCTATCACCACTTGTGTATTCACCTCAATACCTGTTCGCTCTCGTCTTCAGCCCTTATCTGCTCTCGCCAATAATTGAAAGCAAATTGATCAATAGCACGGTTATTATGTCACCAAGTATTTTAAGTTAGCATTCATGGAATAAAAATCTCAAAAATTCTCTCCATCTCTCTCCCTCAGTCTCTTTCATTCTCTTTCTCTCTTACATATATAATATACATTGTATGGATAACACTTACTGATAATACTGTTTAAGAAATTCCAACTGATAAAAAATGTTGAAAAAATGATTTGTTTCCAGCATGGCAAAGATTCTTTTCCTCAGCTCTCTATTCCGAGATGTAGAGAGAAAAGAAGAAGAGAATAAACTGCTTATCAGTATAATGCTTAAACGAACTGATTAGCCGATCCTTTAAAATGATCAAAAAAGAAAAACATTTGAATTGCTTCTCAGATCATTCATGCGACCACTTTTCTTTTGCCTAAAATCCGATCAAGCAATAAACATTTTCTCCAACATATTTATTCATTTCGAACAATTAATCAGTTAATCAACTGAAGCACTGTGCTAACTTTAATTAAACTAAATACATCTGCTGATAAGGAATTTACTCTAACGATTAACATCCAAAATTCATTTCTCAAATTTATACAAATACGAAACATAAGGAAGTTCTGCTTCTTCAATAATAATTAATAATAAAAAGTGAATTAATTGATTTAATCGAATAAAAGTAAATAAACATGTAATTCATTCGCTTCAATAAAATCAACCTTCCTTCGGATGCTTTTTTCTCTAGCAATGGAGTGCTCACAATGACTGCTTCCATTGTCAACACTCACTATTTTCACATTTTCCCCACTGCATCGCACTGCTACCTCTCACAATCTCTAGTGCCTCTCTCACATTTCAGCAATCTTGCACCAACCCTCCCACCCACTGTGCAAAACTATCTGCAACAATCTCTAACCTCCACTAGCACACTATCTCACAAACTCACCCGACCTCCTCCCTCTCCTAAAGCCATGCTATTCACCCAATACCAACGCATCGCAAGCGGCATCTCTTCCACTTCTCACTGCAACGCAACTTCACAAACGCTTCTGCGAGTGTTGCATGTCCCGTGCATGCAACGATTCATGAAATACAGTTTCGCAAGCTGTCAATACTGGTGCGATGGCTTTCGAGTATGGCTTGTCCGTTCCTGTTCAATTTGTTGTTCTGCATGAACTGAAATTCAATGTTTATAAGTAAATCTTTGGAAATAATTGTGAACTGCTCACCATGAATCATGGAATTCAGGCTAATTCACTGTAAACTGTAGACAATTACAAATATTCCCATCAAATTGTAGCAGTAATTTGGCTAGGTTCTGAATAACAATTTTTAGCGGCTGTGATGAAAATGAAGTGTTCTACAAAGTTTTAGATATTCTCGAGATTACTTTTATTTCAGATGGCATCGCAATTTTACAAACGCTTCCTTCGATTAGCTTCACGTTGGCCGCAACATCCCGAGAATTTGCAGCCAGCGAATCGAGATGCAGCGGTATTTCTGAAGAGTGAAATAGAACGAATATTTCGAAAAGAGCAAAATATTTTCCAGGATGAATTTTGCGAAAAGCGATTTAAAAGTATATTTTTCTTCAATTCAGCTATTTACCAATAGCTTTGTGCTTCATATTTGCGGTATATGTGGTAGGAATATTTTGAAGACGATTGAAAATGTATTTTGAAAAAAATATACTTTCGATAGACATCGTAATAATGAATCCATTTTTTCTTTTTCATTGTGGAGCGATGCTGGAATGATTTCAGGTTTGGAACAGCTTGTTTCGAATAGTCATTTGGATAACTTCCCCTGTAATTACAAAGCAGGTGCGCTGGCTTTGTCGCTTAAACAGTTAAGGAGGATAAATTCACCAGAAGGACGTTTTATGTTAGGCCTAGAATTACAACCACCTGGAACAGACACAGTTAATAAAGGAATCTTTGCCAGCCTATTCAGTAAAATGAAATTGGCACTATATCGTAAAGGATTTTTGAGGAAGTCATCGATTGAATTTTCAGATATTGAGTTAGATATTTCAGCATTACCGAAACCTAAAAGAGAGTCGGCGAGATAAAAAAACTTGAATTGAAAATATTTTACTGCAGCACAAAATACCTTTTGTAATTTGATTAGCACTGATCACTACATAGATATTAATTTAAAAGTGCTGTAATGGTAATCCACTTACACTCGTGTTTTCTTCAAATTTTTTGTGAAGTGTCATGCTAGAAATAGGAACTGCTACTTTTACAATCTCTTTCAAACGACTTGTAAATTTTCATCTGTAGGAATAGAGAGCTTCTTGCAAGAGACTAAGTAATTTCTGCATCCGTTATCCATTCGGTCGTTGACCAATGATTTGACCATTGAGTAACAGTTTCTTTTTTTTTTTTTTTTTTACGTTGTTTTTCGGCATTCTTTCTAATGCAGAAATAATTACTTAGTCCTCAAATGTGGTCAGAGTGCCGAACTTGAAATAGCCTATACTGCAGAGTGATGTTGGTGCATTGTTATTTTTGTATTTGTTTTCATAACTTTTTATTATATGTGTAATTTAGAAAGCATATATGAATGTGATTATGGTATTTTAATATTAATGAGAAGGACGTCAATATGTTTTAGTATTCCATAATTGATTTTCTCACGCGAATGACGTAATCAGCCGAATCGTGGTCCATTTTTACTGTATTTAGTGACATGTGTAACTTAGGTTGTTTAATTGATTATAGTAATCGGTATTACTTTTTATATGTAAATAAAGAATAATAAAATTCTACTTCGTTATGATTTTTATTATGCCAAGTTTTTTCTTTGCTACTTTTTACGAATAATTTGTAATTTTCTCCTTGCACTTTTTTTTCCGTTTAAACAGTCTTTTTTTCTAGTAGTACTCCCATTTCAGTCACCGTTAATCCTATTAATTTTGTTGATTTCAAGTGAAATTGATAAGTGTTCCAAAAGTTATTATGGCGTCAACTACAGAAGGCTAGTTTTTTGTTTTCTCAATTAATAGATCTTGAAAAATTTAATTCAAATTTGCAGTTCTGCTGATCAACAGTGAACTTATTGGTAATCTGTTTTACATCACTTCTATAGCAGTACTTTATCTATGACAAGCAGTTTTGCTGGACCAATAATATATATACATATACTTTAGTAGTTTTAATTTTAATAACTAGTAGTGGGTGACATAACTCTTCATCGAGCACGCTGATAAGACCCCCCAATGCCTTCTTTTGAAAGAGATTTAAAATACTTATATTTATTAAACCATCAACTGATTAAATTCCTTTTGTATGACTTCTTACATTACATTCTGCTTTTTTTTCTGTTTCTTAATTGCTGAAATTTTAGTTTTAAAATGGCAACGTTTCTTCATTGCTGCTGGTATCCCTGGTACAGTTGCATTAAAGTACTCTAAATCCTTTGCTGACCAGCGAATGCAGTTTACAATGTTAGATGTTCTGGATAAATCGGTGCTGATTGAGCTTGGTATTGTAACAGTTGGAGATCAGGTGGGATTAGTTGTTGTGATGTATTCTTAAATCTACAATGCTGATTTCACCTCTTTTGATTTATTAGCTTTTGCTTAATTATATGTCAACAACAATACTTTGAATTAATTCAAATATGATAATCATTAAATAATTTAATTTCTCTGTTGTATGATTTAGTTTCTCTGAAAACATTTAGATCGCTATTCTGCAACACATTCGAAAACTAATGTCATCTAAAAAAGAAAGGGTGGACTGCAACTCGTCAGCACTGGAATCGAATAACATATCCGCTGCAAGAGGTTTCTTGTTTATTGATGATGAAGAGTAGCTGATGACTTAAGGGGGAGTCATATTTGTTGATTTTTTTAAAATTTGGTGAAGAAATCTATTCTTTGTGCAACTAATTTTTTGAAAAATTTATGATGCTTTGAAATTTCAGAACCGGAAGTGATATCAGCAGCACCAGACCGTGACGACATTTATCACATCCATCTGCCAGTTGGTACAACACCAAAAACTCGAGCTATTCTTCGAAAACACAGCATGCTAAAATCTGCAGGTTAATAATAATGAGAGTTCATATTCTGCACAGATTATAATCATAAGATCATTTGCCTAACATCTTTTTTGATGAATTAGATTGCTTGTTGGTGATTGAAGAGATTGGTGTTCATAACCCGCAACTTTTAATCCATCAACTGAACCGAAACCAATAAACTTCTAGGAATCATTCAGTAATTCTTGTTTAGGTTTGTTGAAACGTGGTTCCAGTGGGATACGACAGTCAGGGAAGGATATTCTTCCATCAGCAAAACAGAAGAATGGAGTTCGTCAGAGCAGTACAGCAAACAACAAATACAGTGTTACTAGTGCGGCAGCATCGTCAGGTATGATAGAGCCTTGTTTTAGCTTTAAATGAAAGATTCATTTCAGTTATATTCTTTCTGCAATGAATTTGCCAAAAAAATTATCTTGATATCTAACAGACGGTCGGATTTAAAAAGTAGAGACGAATTAAAACTTTATTTAGGAAGATTATGTGAGAATAAGTTATTTAATACTTGATAATCTTTTTGAATAGCCTAATGGTCATTATTTATTCACTATATGGTAACATTATTGAAATCATGCAGCTAATAACCTTGAAGAGCAGATAATGCAATAGATTTTCAGCTACAGTATCGTGTGAATTTTAGAAGTGTCTTCTACAACGGATGAATTTTATGATCGTTTGGGTGTTAAAGGTCTTGTGTCCGACCAGCTGGATACACGAAAATATTCTGGGTAATATTTAAGTACATTTTAAAACAGTTTAAATATTTTGAGGAGGAATTATAATTGCCTATTAATATCCGACATGCTTTTTTTCTTTGTGATTTAGATAACCGTTCGTCAGATTTAATGTGGTAGTTTTAAATTGCATCACCTTTCAGAAGTATTCGAACAAATGCTTCATCATCAACAAGCTTATTTGAACGTGCCATCAATGAAAGTGCAGTGAACCATATTTCAGAACCAGTATTTCGAGTTAGAATCAGTGGAATGGAGGCGTGGAAGTCTTGCGACAAAATAAATAATCCAGTCAAGATTTCAGTATTTTGAAATTTATTTTATACTAAAAATGGTCCACAACTAGTTTTACAAATATTGAGTTTCTTTCAAAATTTCACAATAAATCGTAACTTTTCTGAGGTAGTTGTAATATTCTTTTATGACAATGGTGATGCCAACTTTTGGGCTATTGTAATTTGAGCCATGGATGCTAATGCATCATTTATATCTAAACCATTCTTCTATCAAGCATAATTTCTAGATTCGGTCAAAGTTCACCGGAGCAATAAGGAAACAGAGGTTACAAGGTGCTGCATCCGTAAAGAATACAGCGCTCTCCGTTGCTAACACGAGACGGATTGTTGGTCGGGGCAGACCATCTGTTTTTTATCGTCTGAGTTGATCACTGATGAGCTACAAATTTGATTTAAAAAACACTAGAAACATTATTCCAGATGTGTTGTCAGTTTAAATTAAGCTTTTTTAACTAATTTTTTGCCTTTCCTGCTTGGATATGTTTGACTTTGCATGCTGTCGATTAATCCCATGTTCTTTTTTCCTATAAAGTTACAGGAATCTTTGTAGCATTACGCTGTAGTGTTAATTTTAGTCTGAAGAATTATCTCTTTCTTTGTTCATAATTTTAAATTTATTACTTTTTTCCTGCCTTCGAAAAATATTTGTCTTCTAATTAGCTTTTTTTAAAGAAATTTCATCTTGTTCGACTCTTATTCAAAAATAAAACTCTTGTTGTCATCCAGTTCAAGTGATAAATCGTGGTTTTGGCAACACTTTTCAGCATATTTGTCGTTTTTTCTTTTTTTTTTTTTTTTTTTTTCTATTTTTATAAATAACTTTTCACTGCAAATTCAGTTATTGAAATCTTTACAAAGAGATCTACAATCCAATGTTTTTGATATATTATTTAAATTTTTGATCCATTATTTAAATTATGTATATTTTAAGTGCATATCATTCCAGAAAATGTATGTAATTTAAGTTTGAATTCCAAAGACAATGGGCAGTGAACGTTTGGAACCGTTGGAAACGCTCGAGAAAGATTATTACTTAGATGAACGTAACGACTGGTATAGTGAAGGTGAACAAAGAGACAGCGAAAGGTTTGTAATTATCTGTCTCCATCTTTATCTTTTTACGTGAATTTTTTGTTTGATTTCGGATTTTCGTAAAGCTGCAGTACATTCTAAAGTTTGCAGATCATATATGAATAATACAGCTCGTGACCCAAGAAACATTTCAAACATATTAAAATAAGACTTTTTTAATTGCCGAGTATTTAATGGGTTAGAGTTGATTTCCAGTGCACTGAAATTTCGCTAAAAGATAAAAGAAAATGACAATAGAATCTCTTCTAACGATAAAACCAACCTTAGTTCAAGTGGTCAGCTATAGATGTGATTGGCCGGTTCCGTTGTTGAATTTCTCCAGTCTTGTTTTTTCTTTAGTTGATCCACTGCTTGTAAATCCATAACTCCTGTCCTGCTGTTGAGATATCGTCTTATTAAATATCTCTTCCTTTTCTCGATCGATTTTTACATATCAAATGAATCGCGATTCTCTGCTATTACCGTTGGCTTGCTCTGATCGACCAGAATTAGTGAGTGAGAAATTTTTTGAATTATCCTTTTGGGCTGGTTATTCTTAACACCTTTTCTCCTTTTCTTTCTTGTTTTGGTGTCCATTACTTCTGTTTCTCTTCTACCTGTTTTCACGGTTGTTTACTTTACAATTAACTTTTTCCATTTGGTCAAACCTATTTTAATAACTGCATCCTCTTTCATCTTTATCATGATTAGCTTTATTATTTATATTTGATCAGATACCAAATCACTTATCTAATAATCAGTTCACTCAGCTCTTTATTCTTACTACGTTAAAAAGTACGAAAATATAACACAATTCAAATGGAAACGAGCAAAGTGTTTATTATGCAAGAAGGGTTGGATTCACTTTCTCGAATCATGTGTATATACATGACTAATATTTCACAAATTTAACGTGAATTGTATAAAAATTTTTACATAAAAAAAAATTATTCAAAACTTCTAATTATGTAGCTTTGTTAAACGATGTTACTGGGCATCATTACTGATATAGAACATATTATTATGAGGTACTTATTCACTGACACTTTTCTTTTTTCCAAGTTCCGATGATGAATTACGCGAGCAGTTACTGGAACTGGCTGGCATGCGGTGTGACTCTGAGAAAGGAAAACGTAATATTTTAAATTACTTCAAAGCTATCATTTCCTGGAATAATTTGCGTTTAGCAAATCTAATTGTTGAATTTGCGTTCGTTTCAGAACGGGGAAAGGTGAAGAAGTGGGATGAATTTGAAGCAGATATGAACAGTGAACTGAGCGAAAATTTTGTTGCGCATGCATCGAAAATATTTTCGTTGAAAGAAGGAAATGCAAAGAAATTAGAAAGTATGTTCCTGTCTTTATTGCATCGTTCTAGGTCTGTTGAGCGCTTTACAGTAATGGTTGCAGTAATCATTTGAAACTTTTCCTTTGCCTTTTGTTGTATACCTTCAGGTATATTTTCTTCTATTTTCTAATGCAAAATTATTAGTGGCTTTTTTTGTTTTCCATCAAAAATTTAACACTTTTTTTGGTCTGCTTTGACACCTATAATGCTTTTGATGGAAATTTTAATAGAGATTTTGACAGGAATAAAGACTAATTTCATGTTTACCCGGATGATGGAAACTCTTCATTTTGGTGATTAAGAAAAATGTTAATTTTAGTTAACGACGAAAATGAGATTGATGCAAAAGGTCATGACAGCAAAGCCATACAGAATGAAACCACTTCAAACAGCTGTAATCATTACATTTTATAAATAAAATTGGATTAGATGTTTATGGCTAGTTGCTATTATGTTAAACTCATTTTAAGCATCGCAAAATTTTAGATGTTTCCCCATCAACGAGTAACAACAATTTTTCAAATAACTTTGCGAAATCGGTTAGTGGAACAAAGATAGACTATTTGCATGTTTCCTTTATAATTATTTATTAAAAAATTTGTAATTCGTTCGAAATCAGTTAGATTCAAAATACTTATAATTGTTTTTTGAAATATTGTTCACTGTTTATTATCATGCATTTGTTATTTTAGGTAACTTTCGAAAACCAGCTCGACAAACTTACTGACTTTGAACGCAGTTCAAAATCTTTCAGTAATAACAGCAATTTATCAGATAAGGCATCAAACAAGGCAACGAAGAAAGCAAAAAATGAAGCAGTTGAATTTTATGATTCGGATGAAGATGAAGACAATGAATGTTGGGTATTAATGTTTCAGTTTTCCGAAATTTTTATCTTTAGGCAGAAGTTTTAATTCCTTAATTTTGGAGGACATGGGATTTAGGGGTTGTTAAATTACAATAATTTAGGTACGGCATCATCGAGAACAATTGAAAATCGTAAAACCTTTGAACAGTTTTTCCAATGAAGATGACGGATCGAAGCAAAAAAGAGATCAGGATCATGCAACTGATGCAGTACTGTCTTGTCCTGCATGTATGTCGTTATTAACACGAGATTGTCAAAGGCATGAACTGTATCTTAATCAGTATAGGTATGATTTTCCAAAACTTTTTTGAAATTAGAAATTAGTGGTAATATGAAGATTATGGAAAACTCTTGTGTTGAACTGTTGTTCCTCTAGCAGTTTGTAAAATGCAAATTTAGAGATATATTGTCTCTCGTTTTATGATCAGGAAAACAACTGCTGGCACTGCCTCTATATGAAAGAGGATATTCTAGAAGATAAGGATCATAGTAGAAGTAACTAATTAAATAAATGTCAGCAATAGCAGCAGCGGGAACAGCAGAATTGCAAAAAAGTCACTGCCAAATGAAAATTATAAAATAATACATATGTGAATTAAACCATATTGCATTATACGAGTTAATATTTTCAGGGCTATATTTGTGGAGAACTGTAATGTGGTAAAAAATGAAGTGTTATTTTTGCCTCAGTCAGGAAAAAATAAGCAAAAAGCTCGAAAGAACGTTGCAGGTTGTTACCTCATTCCAAATATTTTCAGTTGTTTGCAATTAGAAACACCATTTTTTGTGTCAGAATTTTTTTCTTTAAACTAGTGTCAAAATTTTCGCAAGTCTTTTCTAGGAATTAAGCCAAACGCTGTCGTTGATGCTGGCGATAGTACAATCCTTCCAAAGGAAGATTTATTTCATCCAGTCCTTTGTAGCATTTGTACCACAAATGTTGGAGTGTATGATTATGAGGAGGTTTTTCATTTTTTCAATGTTCTCACAGGTTATGCTTGAAATTTGCATGACATATTGATTTCATTAGATTTTTCACTCACAAGTCTTCATCTATATTTTATGCTACTATGATATTTAATATTTATGACATCTCATCTTTATTAAAATTCATGTACCTGATAGCACATTAATTTCATTGGCTTATCGTTTCATTTGTGGGATTCATCAAAAATTGTTCCTTTTTTCTAAGTTTAATATTTTGTAAATGGTGTTCTCTTGCTAAAGCAATAGAGAAGTTAAATTACGTTTCACATTTTAGTATATTACATCATTTCATGACGTTAAAGATACTTTTTGCTGGTACCCAAGTAATTCAGGCAATACTGAACACCGTTCAGCTGGAGATAGTAACATTCAGAAGTATGTAATTCTTAACAAAAAGTTGAAATAAGCTCCTTCATATTTCTACGAAATACAGCCTTCAACTCTTGGAAGTGTGTTCCCATGAAAATATTTCATTCTTTTGTGTCAGCTGTTTCTATAAAAACTGAATGGCACAAGAAGGGAAAATGCAAATATTTTAATTTCTGTTCATTTCAAATCGAAATTTCTAATTGGAAAATTGTTGATAAACATTAATAGATTAAAGGGAAAAGTAAGATAGTATTAATTGATAAACTATTGCAAGGGTTCATTTTTGTTTTGCGTTATTTCCAAAACGCTTCCTAACATTCAAATATTGCGCTACATCACTTTGAAAGAGTGCTTGAAGCCTCTGAAGGAGGAATATAAGGAGATAGAGAGTGAAGTACTGTGTGATTTGCTGTATGGATTCTTCCAAGTTTTATAATACAGAATTTTGAAAATTTTATGACGAAGAGATAAGATCTTCATTAAAAGATTTTAAACAAAATACTCATGCGTACAGAGTTGTCTTAGTAGACAAACACGGAATAATAGTAAAGCAGCAGTTCCTTTCAAACAGGAAAATGACTGATTTATTCATTCACCAAAACCAACAATTACAGCTGGTTGGACATGTTGTTTCCGTTCACTGAATAGGTGTTTGAAACACTGAACTGCGGCGTACCGGAAATCTCTTTGACGATATAAAAATAACACGACCAAGTTGAAGGAATTCAATAGGCGCAAATATACACAGCACATCACAATGATTTGCGATGTTATAGAAGAATCCATCACGTAAATACATTCCACCGTTGACGGCACAACGACAAGAACTGCAAGCTAATGGAATATTACCTGTAAAACTCACTATTTAATATTTAAGCAGTCCGACCGAGCCTATCCCAAGGCTATTTGGTCACTTTGGTACTGAATTCATAAATCAAACTTATATTTTAGAGTGCAACGGAGCATCACCGTTTCGAAAGAATTTAGCTTTCTGACCACAAAATCTGGGAGGAAGAACATACAAAATGTAAAACAGCAAGAGATCAATGCTGTTTGAGTGTATCGCTTTTGATTTTTCAGGAAATGTGATAAGTCGCGGTTATGCGAGTGACTTGAAAGGAACTGTGCGCCGAACTTCCTGAAAGGATATGATAATGATATGATTAAAGTTTCATTCATATTTTGGGTTTGACTTTGTTAATGAATTGTCACCTGCCGTAAATGACGTAAAAAAGTGATAATTAAACAAAAAGAGTATATTAGTTCTTTTTTTCTATCGCTATGTGCTCGTTTATGATAATTTTATTTTCATAATCTTATTAAAAAATTTTATTTTTTTTTGGCAAATGACATATTGCTTTCAATTTTCCATATTGTCTGACAACAAGCAGTTACGTATATTACATTCCTGTTTTAGGATATTGATGGCATTTTTAAAATTAGAATGATTCTGATAAATGTTATCTTTGATTAGATGATTAGTAATAAATATTTAAAAGCATACTTTCTCAGCACGACAACTACGACGACCATAAAAATAACACTCAGCAATGAAGCAACAGAGGTCAGTACTAGCATTGCCTCATAAAAATGAGTTAAATATACCTCTTGCACTCTGCAAGAAATATTGCATACATTTTGAAATTAAAAAATTGTTATCTATTTTGAAAACTGTCTACTTATAGTGTCCACAAAAGGTAGATTTTTTCCTTAGAATTTATTATTGTAGTTGCAATAATGTTTTAAAATATTAATTAGCAAAAGGTCTTGAAAATTGCCTGATTACGGTGCTTGTGATTGAAATTTTTTCCTTGGAATTTATTACTCGTAGTGTTCAAAGTAATTTACTTATTATTACTTACACACAAAACTTAGATATAAGCCGAATTGGTTCAATTAAACTTGCAATGACAGCAGCAGTTACCACAGTGATGGTAATCACATATTGTGCGGTAATTAACGAATAACTTATTCGTGTGCTGTGAGCATAGTAATATATTGGGAATGCCACAACACAAAACCTTTCCAAGCTGTTCGTTAACAAACTTAATCCATCTAGACAAAGCACTGTTAGAAGAAGAACGGGAATCTGAAACTTTTCAAGGTATTTGAATACTTTAATCTAATTTGGTAATATAGCCAGAGGAATAATCTAAAAAAAAAAAAAGAAAAAAAAAACAAACGCTCAGCACACATTCATGATGACTAATGAGTTTTTCATCAGCGGAATAGATTAATCGTTTCATCCCTAGTAATATCACGCTAATTCCGGTAAATCCATTATTCAAGAACACAACAGCGATAACCACATAAGTTTTCCTGAAATACTCGAAATAATGCTTCCATCTGTTGTTATGCAATCCAGGTGTGATTGAGATAAATCGGTTGACCTGAGTGCTTTACGAATTATCACAAGCAGAAAGGCCGGAATGTTGATCAGTATAAGCATTGTACCGACAACGAAATAGCCATATGTGCGTAGAATATAGGTGATATTTGGTAGCATTTACTCTTCTTTTAATCTTCACTCTTCACAACGGTGTGACACTTTCACTTTGTCTGCAACAGATCAATTGAAGTGGAAAAGTTTGGTAAAATTGGTAACCTTAGATTAAATGGGGTTACATCAACAGAAACATTCACTGTTTCACTCTTTCGATGACACTGCAAAATATTAGGACTAAAAACGATAGTTAGGGAAGGTCGCTATTGTCTGACACTGCTCAAAAGTATGTAACATTTGGCTTGCAATAAATGAGAAATTTGAAATTACTTTCGCATATGATGAAATGAAACTCAGAATAAATTCTTACATGCAATTTCACTTTAAACTGAACCTTTCGTGTTCGTTTTGCACTTTCAAAATTCAAAGAAAAAAAGAGCCAAGCGAGTTCCATTTGTTTCTTTTCTTTGCTTCAGTAAAATAACAATGAATTTTTGCAAGAAATATTATTTTCATAGCTGCTTTGATTAACGGCTATCTGGTGTGTGGAACTTGTATAATCTGAAATCGAAGTATAAAATTAAGTTAAGCCATACTGTTATATATGTTGTGAAGTGTTGGTATAAAATGCTGAATTCATTTTTTAATTTCAGTTAAGAGGAGCTGAAATAGTTGAAAATAAAAACAATTTACGCTTCATACTGTGCATATTTGTTCGGGTTTAACGCATTGGAGATAATTTAATATGCAAACACTTAAATATGTGCATGGATTTGTGGGAATATTTGTGAGAACTATTATGTGACTTTGTGAGAGTTTCATAAAAATATACGAAATAGCAGGATTGACTTATCAAGTTAATCTGTTCTTTGTCTTGCTGTAATCGAATTGCAATGCAATCACTTAATTATATTTTAGCATTAAATTCGTTTTCCAAACATATCTGTGAATTCTATATACTTGAAGATTTGAGTTTTTTTTTTTTTTTTTTTTTTTTTTTTTTTTTACAAATAAGTGTTCGAACAAATATAAATACCACAGTAAATTTGGGTGATAGTCGTTGTACAATGTTGCTTCAATCGAAACAGACTATAGAATTATTAGCATGACAATTAAGATGATATTTCAAGTTCCAGTTTATTTCGACAAACTTAAAATTAATTACAATTATATACGTTCAGTGGTATACTCAAATGTATAATTGGATAAACTAATACCCACCGTAATAAATTCATTCTTCTTTACTGTTTCTTTTGGATATATAATTTCATAAAATTTTCAAGAAAATGTGTGAATTCTATTAAATCTTTTTTATGTTTATTTAGTTTTTCGTTAATTGTTTCATTAATTTTATTATTACTATGTGTTATTCTGAGATTTATGAATGATGATTATTAAGGATAAAATTATCAAATCTATAAATGAGATTTACCTAATCACAAACGACTTCTAATCTCCTAAGAATAAATATTGGAAATAAGTCAACATATTTCCAATTGTCATTTAATTTACGTCACCAAAATTTAAAACTGAAACTTTTTTCAAAATGCAAATAATTCATTCAATATTTTACTTACCTTCAATAAACTATATTTTATTAAACAAAGAAGACAGGATTATTTAATACTGCACAACTGATTAAATATTTCACCATACGATGACATTTAATCCCAGCTATTCATCAGTTCCCTTTATGCAAATGTTACTCCATTTTGTCAACCAAACTTCTAGAATTTGTTTCAAACATCAAACATTGCTTATGTTGAAATTCTTTCTGATAATAGCAGTGGATGTATGTCAAAAAGCAATAATTAGCAAATTTCAGGTGATGCTTCCATCCGATGAAGTTCCCATCGGTGATACTATCAATAGATGTGAAGATGCTACTTTATTAAATGAACCCATTAAATGCATCGAAAATGATTAGAATCTTATTCCTCACGTCGTATTACTGAAATGATGGAACAATATCCTTCCTAAGTATCAGATTTACGTACGCGCTATTGTAACACTTCCTTCCGGATTCAAAACAGCATTCATAAACCACCAGTTGGGCGAGAGAAAAGCGAGAATGTAAAAGAACAAAAAAAAAACGACAAACAATAGGCAGATTAAAAACTGTTTGAACCTTTGATCTTTAATTGAAATAAAAAGCTTTCATTTGAATATTTCTGTCATTTCACAAATTGTGTTCCATCATGTTCATCACTGTATCTATAACACCAATCATCTGGTTCAATCTTCTACTTTGCATCGCTTCTGATAAAAATGAAACTTCTCATCTACCTAATTTCGGTGCTGATAAAATTGTTACAAATAATACTTATTCTGGTATCTCAGAGAATTTTGATTACAATAACTTTGAGCCATTATTTAGCTCAGAATTTCTGTCCGATCCTTCGCAGTTCATTGATTTCGCTCAGATGAGTGAAATTGAGGATATAAGCAGTAAAGAATCGAATTCTGAAACTGAACTGTTCACAATTACTCCTCATCCTCTCTTCATCTCATCTAGTTATGATGATTTCATTGTCCACACTAATTTGGAGTCATCACTTGACTTAGATTTCGATTCATACAAGAATGTGTGGAGAGATGCCAATGGAGAATTAAAAACGAATGATGATAAAGCACGATATCCTTCCATTAGAGGTGAGACTTTTGCTTCAAATATGTGAAAAGTGAACAACTTCTTGTGATCTAAGTTATTTAGATGCTCAAAGTGAAACTTCTTCGTCACTTAATGTCAACACCGATGACATTATCACATGTATGTACTTACCTGGTTCACAACAAAATGCGGTTCCGATCTATTTTCACCAACTTACTCTTTCCTCGGACGATACATTCAGTCAACATGGAAATACTAAAGAGAGCAACATCGATAACAAACAATTCCTGAATAGCTTGAGTATCCACGACTGCAGGGGAAGTACCAATGAAGGATCAGAAACAGGTAATGATGAATTGCGCAACGACTTTTCGTTCTATCTCTTATAGTTTTTCACTTTCATTAACAGCATGAAATTGAAGATAGAAGTAATAACGAATCAAAAACCAAAACTCATTTCGTCGTTCAGAAGGCGACATTAAAAGTATGATTATTGCTTAAAACATGTGAGAAGATAAGTAAATAACTACTTGTCACCTAAGTTTCCGCCATAGATCATCATTTTGTTGTTGTCACATGCAAACTCATCAACCTAAGCATCAATGCAGAGATTGCGGCAAACTCTTCAGTAGGAAGAATATATTTTTTAAATTCGAAAAAAAAAAAAAAACTTTTTTTTGAAAAAAACAATATTTAAAAACGCTCAATTTAAAATATAATGTATGCGGAAATATGTTTTAAAACATCGCCGACCATGGTATAGCAATATACAATTCAGAAAATGCTGCGACATTTTTCTAACCTCAGTTTCTTTTGTATATGACAAAAGTCCTGTGGCAGGCAGTCAGCATACAGTGACAACTGATTTTTTAATATCGCGACAGATTAATCTTTTTTTTTTTTAAATAAATTACTTGTCCATTACTCGATTACTTGAAGTTGGGAGTACAAACAATGACGAAAACTAAACTTGATTTCGCCACAACAGAAAATTCACAATCATTTGTTGTGCTTTCCATTAGAAATATAGCATCAAAAGTAAAAAGTAATACCAAAAGTTTTGTTTCAAACATATAAGAAGATAAATAAACAGATTATTATGATTTAAGCAATTTGAAATGATAAAAAAAAGTGATAATATAGTAAGATTATTTTATGCACTGATATTTTTATGATTTATCACATGGATTAATAATTGCAAAGACCAATATCATAAGAGTTTTTTAGACGAACGAAGCTACGAATGTGTCTATCGAGGATGTACTATGGTCACAAAAGATTACAATGAATATATAGCACATAGAAGAGCACATGGTCAACCCTTCATCTATGAATGCAAAGTGCTCCGTTGCGGGCGAACATACAAAAATAAATCATCGTTTTGTCAACACAAGCAAACGCATGAACCTCCTCAGTGCAAGGACTGTGGCAAATTCTTTTGCCGTAGGACTGCATTAAATTTTCACAAGAAATCGTGTTCCAGAGCTCCTAGTTAGTTTTCCAAAGTTAACAAAACTTATGTGAGCCTAAGATAGAATGCACGTGAAATGTGTTATGAAAGATTTGTGACCGTTGAGTGACAATACAAAATTCATTAGACACATTCATTAAGATGCTATATATATTTTTTTTGCACTCAGTAATACCGCTCACGTCCTAAGAACCAACTGCTTAAAGACAGTGGTGACAATAGCGCTTCAATATACATTAACAAACATTGAAAATATCAACAAAGGAAAAATTATCCTTTCACTCTTAATCAAATTGCTTTATTTTTCTAATTCGTGGAATGTATGCAGAAAAGCATACATTCCACGAATATTATTCTATCCACAAAACCAAACTGCGACAAACTGCAATTATTATTATTATTAATTTTTTGGCGTTATAAAACTGAAAATTTTCATTCTAGAAAACGGGACACAATTTGGGCATTCTTCGCAAGCATGAGGAAAAGACGTAACAATCGGACGTTTTCGAAGCATCAGATTGTAGCGACCGGTTAATAATTTTATTTTACCATTGGATTTTTTAAATATTTCTTCCCTATTTATTATTCCATGAATATCACAGAAATGCATAAATGTACTAATTGACAATAATATTCGGAGGCAAGCATTTAAATGTTCAAAATGCGCTCACAACTGAAATAAACGATTTGTCATGCCAAAAGCTAATATGAAAAAGCATCATAAATGAGAAAAAAGTATTTACCTAAAAATTTATAACAAAATTGACATCACGAAGTGGTTTTAAGCAAAGAAATGGTATTATAAGAAAAAAGTATACCACTTATAATTTAGCCTAAACCTTAACGTGCAAAATAAATGGCAGATATTATGTTTAATGAAAAAAACTTCTCCGAGTATTCGACACTAAAAAATTTTTTAAGTTAATCATTGAAAAGTGGATGTAGAAAAACTTCTTTAAGATCTTCACAAGAACAATATTGCTTTTCTATATATGAAAGGCACTGTTTCACATCTAATACAGAAGGCGACAAAACCAACATTTATCATCAAAATCAAAATTGTCGTTAAAAAGAACAACAAATGTGCATTTACTCCAATAAAATATGCAATTCTTCATGTAATCATATCATATGGAAAAGGATTAGGATAACACTTGCATTTAAGCTTAGGGTTAGGTTTAGGATGATACCTATACTTACACACACATTAGATGCTGCAACATTTTTCTCGTCATTATCACTCACTCAGATGTATTAGCTGTCGATGACCAATGAATCATTTGCTTAAAAGGTTGACAATGGTGAAAGTGATGCTTCAATGATACATCAACAAATTTTGGAAATGTCAATATAGAAATGAATACTCTTTGCCCTCTCGGCTAAATTCATAATTCATGAAAGATATGCATTCTATCTGCTAAGCCAAACTGCGACTGTTCATTTATTTTAGCTGAACAAATTTTAGCTGAACATTTATTTTAAGCACCTAAAAAATTTTTGTGATCAGTTTATGATCTGATTTTATTTTCATAGTTGTTTATAATTAATTATCATATTTGTCACAGCTTAAAAAAAGTAACTATTGACCCTTGAAAAATAAATGTAGCAGAATTTCCGAGGACTTCAGATCTCCTTAAAAACAATTTATTAAATACATAATGTGTCAAAGTTTTTTCCTTCTATAATAAAGCATAATTTACCAATATTTGTGACTTAGCAAAAACCTAAATGTGAAGAAAAAAAATTTTTCTTCAAAATATTTCCTCAATTAAGCGACAAATTTCCGCTTAACTTTTCCCAATTTTCTAGCACTGAAAAATTTAAAAAAGTAAATGACGAAGATTCAAATCTTTATAAAAACAATTTATCTACGATGAGAATAAAGAGAAAATGATTAAGATAAGATATATACTAAGTGAAAATTTGCTCAAAAACTATTATTATTTTACAAATTGATAGAAAAGCCTAGCACTTAACACATCGAATCATTTTGCAATTTGTCTGCAGTCTACTAAATCGCTTATGATTCGACTTTGACACCTATCATGTCAACACACAATAATATTTTTTAGTCTACCACCGAATAAGTTTTTTGCTGTAACTGGCTTACCATTAATCACTCTTATGATCTACATAGAAACAAAAAATGGTGCAATCGTAATTACGAAGTATTAAACAATGCTGAAGTAAGTAATCTTCCATATCTTTAAGCCATATCTCGTGAAAATTATAATTCTATATATATTGGTGATTAAAGTAAGTAGGTAAAATTCATTTGCAATTTAAAATTAAAAGAAAAACTGAAGTGCATCAAAGCTAATCGTGACCCAATTCATTTTTTTATTATTATTTACAAAGTACTCAAATCACCAAAAGAGAAAAGAAGTAAATATTAAAAAATATTACTTTGGTCATTCAAACAAATGCTGAAGTACTGATTGTTATACCCTATTTTAACTTACCTGATATAATGAATAAATTAACCATTATCATACTCTTATACTTTTAATTGTTTGGTGACATAGTCTGGCAGCAAAATTAGCACTTAATCATCACAATAAAATTGGACGATAGATTTGAAAATTCCTTTCAACAAATTTATTCGTAATTTTTTAACAAAAAAACAAATGTCACAATAAATAGGAGTTAAATTCATCACTTCAATCAGTAATGTATTATCAGTTAATTTTTGATTAAACAAACAAATATATTTTCAAATATTAATGGAATTACTGTTGCAAAAAAAAAAAAAAAAAAACCATATGTATGGAATATTATTAACTTAATTATTAGGTAAAGAAATTAGTTTAGAAGAACAGATGGGAAGAAAGATCATGGAATTAGATATGATCAATTAAAATGCCATTAAGCTACCAGGCAGTACCTAAGAATAAATGTTGGAAATAAGTCAACATATTTCCAATTGTCATTTAATTTACGTCACCAAAATTTAAAACTGAAACTTTTTTCAAAATGCAAATAATTCATTCAATATTTTACTTACCTTCAATAAACTATATTTTATTAAACAAAGAAGACAGGATTATTTAATACTGCACAACTGATTAAATATTTCACCATACGATGACATTTAATCCCAGCTATTCATCAGTTCCCTTTATGCAAATGTTACTCCATTTTGTCAACCAAACTTCTAGAATTTGTTTCAAACATCAAACATTGCTTATGTTGAAATTCTTTCTGATAATAGCAGTGGATGTATGTCAAAAAGCAATAATTAGCAAATTTCAGGTGATGCTTCCATCCGATGAAGTTCCCATCGGTGATACTATCAATAGATGTGAAGATGCTACTTTATTAAATGAACCCATTAAATGCATCGAAAATGATTAGAATCTTATTCATCAGGTCGTATTACTGAAATGATGGAACAATATCCTTCCTAAGTATCAGATTTACGTACGCGCTATTGTAACACTTCCTTCCGGATTCAAAAGAGCATTCATAAACTATCAAGCGAGGAGGTTAAAGAAAAAATATGACAAACAGCGGACAGAGCTCAGGAATAGCAGAAAACCTAGGACTTCCCAGGGAAATAAAAGAATTAGATTTGTCGCTAATCAATTAACCGTGGTATTCTTGAATCAATTATGAACATTCTCGATTCTATTCAAAAGGAAAGAAGAAATTTATATAGAAATGGTTCATTAAGAACAAGGTATAAAATAAGTCAATGAAGAGATTTGGATGGGATTTGCTAAGGAGTTGCTTGAGTTGTAGTTTAAGAGAGTTCTTAAGATGCCAAGGCAAAAGCTCTTCGAGAGTATGAAAAAAGTTATTGTGTAGAACTATAAATGAAGAAAGAACTAGATAACGAACTCTTCCTAATGGGTGATTTACAAAGATATGCTGTAATACTATTGTGAAGAGAGTTACCTGAACAAAAAAGGAAAACCTTAAATATTAGTTATCAGAGTGAAAATGTGTGAATCGGTTTTTGGTATTTAACCATTGATGATAAGCTGATAGTTAAAAACAAAGATGAAAATTAGATAAGTAGTTCATTACATCATAACACTCATTTGCATTCATTTTGAATCATTTGATGAGAAATACAATTGAAGTTATGAAATGAACTGTTCTTAGATTGGATTACAACAGCTCTTTCTGGAGTCCGAAAATCAGGAAAAAAAAAAACATGGAATTCCTGTTTTCTAAAAAATAATTAAGATCCTAGCTGACATTCGCTTCCATCTCCATTTGGCTTTACAACTAAGTGACTTAGTCAGATGTTAGAATGCTGTTTCAGCACTTCTATTGTACACAATTTCGTTCTCTTCAACATAACTTTGTCACTTTGATTTTGCTAATATTATGATTCGGTCGCTCAACTTAAATTTCTAATTGAACCCATTTCGACTGTTTCAATACGAATGTCCCAGCACTACGGTTCACAGTAACCACCAATCCTATCAATTGTCACAAGCTGTTGCTCCCATAAGTGCTTTAGTCATCGATTGAGTGAGAGGATGGCAAGTCAGCTGCTTTCTGCATCCATTATTATGCGTGGTATTACGATGTGATAACTGTGGTCATATCTCTTTGAAATATAAGAGAAATTTAGAGAGTTCAGACGGTGAGGAAATCATACCCGTACATATTTTTTATGCAAATTATTTAAAATTAAAGTTTACAAAATATGTAGCTAGATGAAAGACAGGTTTAATAGAGTGAGAAGGAAAAATAATTCCATCTTTATTCTCTGTAGGGGCGCTTTGCAGTCGGTGAACTTTTTATTGTCGTGCGCTGAGGTGAGACTGCGCTTGATTTTCAAGTTTTTGCTTAAATCTGAAAATGTCAAAAAGAAGATACAGGTGGAAGGAGAACAGGAGGAGGAGAAATGAGAGGGATCTAAAATGGTGTTACAGCATATGAAATGAAATGATAGTTGTCACTGTCGAGTATCATTTGCAAATGGAGCGACTGGCTACACTTGAACTGAAATTACAGCCAAATATTGTTTGGGGAGATAGTGAGATGTATTTTCAGGTTGAGAAATTGTTGATTCCTGTCACTCTTAATATAACGTTAACGCTAATTGTTTGAATTGGTATATATCATACCAAAAAGGATTCGAATTCTGTCTTCTATTATAAGTTCGATCCGGTCCATAATCATACAACCGAAAATGAAATCGTCGACGGGATGGCTAGAGCTCTCAAAGCTTGCAAGTAGTCAGAAAATTGGATTGCACAGCAATGGAACTTTATTGACTTCATTTGACCTTTACTTTCTTCTACTTGATGATTCGAACGAAACACCGCAGTGAATGTTCTTCACTGTCATTACATTAAGTGATAAGTTGGTTATCTTACATTTATGGGTAATGATTTAAAACAGAGAAAAATCTATTTAATAGTGAAGGCTTGTCGAATGCTGCGGAATAATTGCAATTGTAATTGAGATCACTGAGATTCGCCGGTCAAATTCTCTAGGGGGATTGATCTTGGTGAATGTCATGCAAAAATGGAACTTGAGACTGCTTCTGGAACAATTTCCAATCAATATGCTTCTAGCTCACAGTAGCTCGAATCGCTTTACGTAGTATGTTTAAATTCACAGATAAATGGAATCGGATGCGTGTTGATGCTAGCTATAATAAATTTTGCACTAAAAGCCGAATTACAAACATAAATCAGAATAACAACCGGTAAAGATTATCCAACCAAGAGTGACTGCAACTTGTACCTGAATCTGAAATCCGGAAGAGGCAGGCTGAATCAAATAGCGTCAATTATTAATTAATTGCATCAGAACGATGTACAAAGTGGTGTCACTTTATAAAAAATACATTCGTGCAACAAACTGCGTTATTACCACAAGTGCTCATTGTCACTGCCTTCAGAGAACGCTTTATAAAATATTTCTTGTCAGTGAACTTAACTCTTCAATTTACTGAAAAGCAAGAGATGTCGCAGTTTAGAAGCTAATGAGTTAAAAAGTTAAGGAATTCTCTTCAGTGAATTTCAGATGACATTAGCCCAATTATGTCATTAACTATCATTTATCATATTATCCTTAATCTATCCTTTATCATATTGATCATAAGAATAGTAAGATATTTCAGAGACTTATTCAAAGCAATTGGCTTCCAGACCGCCCCTCCTATACTCACAACACTTACTGTTATTACATATGGTACCATCGGTATCCTCGTATTCTTCACCAAAAAAACTCCTCTTTACATGCATCAATTCTACGTCATTTGCAACTGTTCATTGGTTTCTGTATTTTACCTTCGAATGTTCCCTACACATACTGCGTGGTTTGTATTGGTATGCTTTGGGTTGATGAGTTCGTTATTATTTGGGGTAAGTTGATGAGAGTTCGCTGTACCATCTAAGTAATATTTCTGTGAAACCCTCTCTGACTGTAAGCAGTGCATATGAGATTGTGGACAGTTGCAGAATCGTATGAATGCGATCATTGCAACAAATTAGATCGCCGATCAAAATGACCAGAAAAGGGGAAAGACTTGAGAAAAGAGATAAATTTTATCTTTTAGAGAAGATAAAACATTCTAATCTTAATTATTCCATAAAGAGATTGAATTGATTCCTAATCGAATACAAGAAAGCATTCAGATGCATTCGCAGTGCTTGCACCCATCGGTCCATTGCGACGTATCAGTGGAAAAGCTCACGAATACAGCGACCAAGTAAGTAAGGCAATTACTTCTCAATTGCTTGATATAATAAGCATTAAGAATTGCGACAACTGTTTGCTCCTTACAGTATTGCGATTCTTAATGTTCACAGCTGAGGATAGAAATGACGAGCGGAGGGAAGAAATCGTAAGTTCTCTTAGGCAGTGAGCTTTCTGCTGTGGTAGTAAGTTCTATTTCTCTTGTTGGTTGACTACCATCCGCTTCCCGAAAGAAACAAAGAAAAAGAAAAAATTTTTTAAAAGAAAAAAGGTCTTTGTAGATCAATTTTGATAAAATTCTTTATTTTCAAAGCAAATTTTAGCAATTCTGTCCTTGACTCCTACAAATCGTTCACATGAGATTTATAACATAACTGAAAACATCAGACATGAAAAAAGAAACAAAAGCAGCTTTTTCAAAGTTAATCATTCAGACAAGCAAGAGATGTCTTGTCGAGCCAAAACAACAAAAAGTGAGGAGAAGCCTAAAATAAGCTCCAACAAGGCTGGATTCAGTATTTTTCATCGATTTAGCACATCATATCTTTCGATAGATCCATGTCTTGAGTCCTAAAAATTTTGAAGTGAACTTTGTCTAAATTACAGGAAGCAAAGAGCAAACATATCCAACAGCGTAAAGCGTTAGGTCACAAAAGTAATATATGTGATGAAACGATCCGGAAAATTTGCACAAAGCTTGGAACATCCAAGAATAAAAGAAAGAAACGAAATTTAAAATCTACGATGCTCTGAATGATGGATGTATTCGTGGAAATTTTTTCGTCGAACAGGTATCGGGAAATTGGCACTTACGAGATTAATTTTTGAATCGAAATAAAAAAATAAATTGAAAATCTCATTCTGATTACAAATCCTTCAGAACGCTTCATTCTTTTCGCCGCTATCAATGTGATTAACATGTTTTTTTCTTTCAATAAGTATTTTTTTCAAATAAGAGCAATCAAATAAGTATTACCTGCTCAGAACTTTATCTAATTAATTCCTTCAATTAATTTTCATAACGCGACAGAAACGACAGAAAGATAAAGCTGTGGGAAATCCAAGCTGTAAAATACTTATTTCTTTGGGAATTATTTTCTTTCCAAATCATCTTCTTGACCTGCCAACTCGGTAACTGACCAGTCATCCCACAATCATCAAGCGAATCATCCCACAATTCAGAATGCCTTATAATGTACTATATGATGTTAAATTTAAACTAAAATTCGTAAATATGCAAATTTCAGCATCGGTTCGTCTTGGCATGGGCGACTTCATTTTCTATAGTTTGCTGGTAGATAAAACCTCCGCGACACGTAGTATGTGCGTTGCTGACTCAATGGCTGGCTGGCTGGCATACTCACCCTGGCAGTACTGTCTAGCTACGATGAACCCACTACAGCACTGTCTGTTCCGATCGATTACCATCGCTGTACTGCTACATTCCGGCATTTATCTGTTCGTCGAACCATTCCATAATCGCATAGTGATGAGCACAAAATTATTTACCTCTAGACAAAACAGAACTATCTCCACCATATGACTTCTCCAGTTGCAGGCAAGTTCATCAGTTCATAAATTTGATACATGCCAAAGATCATAAGGGATCATCTTAGTGACAGCATATTTTGCATTAAAAAACAATACAAAGGAAGCAACGCTACATTATGAAAGAAATAACGAATAAATAAAAGAAAGTGAGAATGCAATCAACAATGCCAAATTTAAGAATAAACTTTAAAATACGAAGATGAAACGAAGGAGTCAAAAAGTAAGCAATATAAACTAATTAAAAATGCAATACATTCTAGGTATAAATAAATGAAGCGACAAATACTATTATTATTATTATTAAAAATCCAACACTTTAAAAGTCAAAGAGTAAAACAGTTGAATTAAATCCTTGCTGAACACCCCGATGCTGAATTCATCAAAGTTGAAGTGATACAGGCAAACATTACGCCTAAATAATTAAGTTGCAATTCAAAGCAGCATAACAGCCAAAAAAATCCACTATTCCTAGAAAGTTCAATCTGTATTAATATTAGATTTAAGGCTTAATGTTTCGTAAAATGTGAACCGAGGAAAGTTAGGCAATGAATCATTAAATTTCATCTTATAAATATTTCGTATAATATCAATTGATTCAGATAATGAAACTTAACTATTACATACTTCTCTCAAAACTTTACTTCGCCGAAATAACTATTTATTACAAGTACCGATTATCCTCCAACTTAAAATTACTATTTTACATGTTTTTTGAAAAAAGCATTCAGAAAAAAAATCCGAAAAGATTATGCTTCAAAGTGCTAAGGAAAACGAAGAGCAAATAATTTAACCTATTGTGAAAAGTTTTCTAGAAAATTCCAAGAGAAGGAATATCGATTGCCAAAAACCAATCGATTGGTAACCAAAACTGCATGAGATCCAAGCAAAAAAAAAAAAAAAAAATAAAATAAATAAATAAAAACAAAAAGACACAAAAAAGAAACAAAAGAATGATTGATGATGATTTCGATAAGAATGAGACGTTGGTCATGGTCGTTTAATAGAAATACATGTAGAAATAACATCAACATAGTTCACAGTAATATTTTTGTTTCCGAAATTGTACTTTCCTTTGTGTTATTCAAGTAAATGAGATTAAAGGTTGTCTTTATTTTAGTTCGAAGAAGTTTCGGTAGAATTTATACTTTCTAACTTAACTGCTCACGTCCGCTTACGCCGTCAATTCTGCTTTCCGATCAGTCTAATCATAGAGAGGATAACAGTTTCCATAACATTTAAAAGAAGGAAATTCGCAAATGGTACGTGAACCGTGAACCATGAAACGCTATGGACGTAGCTAACAAATCATATTTGAAATTTTGAACAAAATTAGATATGAAGGGACGGGGAAATGGAACGAAGTGGGAAATAAAAGTGCTAATAAAATGAGTTAGGTGATTCATCGAGGTAAAAATAATAAAGATTAACTGAAATTCATTTGATAGATTGAGATAGACAATTGAAATTCAAATAGAAATAGTGGAAACTGTTCCTTTGTTTCTTTGATATTTCACGTATATTTGATTTGACTGTGAAACGTTTTATCGTTTCTTTCTGTTTCTATAAACAATTATTTCTCTGTTATTAATCTTTATTTTCTTTTCGTTGTAATCATCTCCGAAATTTAGGAATTTTAATTTGAGTAACTGATGCACTATCCTAATCTTTACTATAGTTATAGGAAGTTGCCAATGTTAATTTTACTGTAATCTTTCAGCGATTCATCACCGTAATTGCTATTCCTGCAATAGCTGCAACTGTTTTCAAAGTCCAATAGTCAGGGTTAGAGGCATGACTAATGCTAGCAACAGAACTAAATCTGCTAACAATTTCGTCTTATCAGTGCCACTTACTCTGTCTGCAAGTACTGCACATGAGAGTGAAAAATCTATATCTAGTAAAAATACCGTAATGACAGCTTAGTCTTAAACATTTTTTACTTCTGATAACCATACTTTTGGATCCTCCCCGACTTCTTTTAATATAACAGTATGACACTCTCTGCACGTCCGTAATGTGTTGACTATATCATCTAAACCTTTTAAGTCTATTCTCGCCACCACAGCATTAATCCCTTGTTTGACCAAGGGAAAATATAGTACTTGGATCTGTGTGCTTGATTAGTATGTACTCGCGTTCAGTCAACATGAAAACGTTCCTGTAGACACTAGTAGCTTTTAGATTTGACAAAAAAATCAGTGTTGATGTTTGCTGTACATTTATATTATTTGCTGTAATCTACAAAATAAATTCCAGCAATATCAAAAACTAATTTTAATTAAATGTTAAATTATTGAAAAAAATCAATTCATTAAAAAAATGGATATTTTGCACTTAATTGAATAATTTATAAGCGTTCCATAGTACTGGTCATTTAGGGTGTGGTCATTTGACCAGCATTAATAATAAAATAAACTTTAACAATTAAGTTTTAATTGATATTTGATAGGCAAAATTAATTAAGTTTTTAATTTGTGACGGTTTTAATTCCTTCTTACAAATCAAATCAATTTTTATTTCAAATTTAGATATCAAATTTTATGAAAAGTCAATAATTTATTAGAATTTTGCATATTAATCTACAAAATAAATTGTAGTAAATATCAAAAGCTAGTTTTAAATAAATGTTAAAATTTTGAAAAATATCAATTAATTAAAAAAAAAAATAATGGATATTTTGAACTTAATTGATTAATTTGTGTGCATTGCATAGGTATTGGTCGCATACATTGTGGTCATTTGACAAGCAAAAATAAAAAAATCAAGCTTAGAAATTAAGTTCTGAATGATATTTTAGAAGCAAAATTAATTAATTTTTTAATTAATGGCGGTTTTAATTCATTCTTACAATTAGAATTAATTTTTATTTCTAATTTAAGTACCAAAATTTAGGAAATTTGTACAATTTTTAAAAGCTTTTGCATATTAAAATGCGAAATGAATACATGTATTGTCAAAATTTATTTTAATTAATTGTTAAAATATTTATAAATATCAATTCTTTAAAAAAAAAAAAAAAAAAAAAAAAAATGGATATTTTGAACTTAATTGATTAATTTGTGTGCATTGCATAGGTACTGGTCGCATACATTGTGGTCATTTGAGCAGCAAAAATAATAAAATCAAGTTTAGAAATTAAGTTTTAATCGATATTTGAATAGCAAAACTAATTAAATTTTTAATTTTTGACGGTTTTAATTCATTCTTACAATTGAAGTTTATTTTTATTTCAAATTTAAGTGTCAAATTTTATGAAAATTCATTAATTTATTAGAATTTTGCATATTAATCTACAAAATAAATAGTAGTAAATATCAAAAACTAGTTTTAAATAAATGTTAAAATATTGAAAAATATCAATACATTAAAAAAAATGGTTATTTTGAGCATAATTGATTAGTTATTATTCATTTCATGGATACTGGTTACATACATTGTGGTCATTTGAGCAGCAAAAATAATAAAATCAAGTTTAGAAATTGAGTTCTGAATGATATTTTAGGAGCAAAATTAATTAAACTTTTAATTTGCCACTGTTCTAATTAATTCTTACAATTGAAATTAATTTTTATTTCAAATTTAAATATCAAATTTTATGAAAATTCAATAATTTGTCAGAGTTTTGTATATTAAACTATAAAATAAATTCTAGCAATATCAAAAACTCATTTTATTTAAATGTTAAAATATTAAAAAAAAATCAAATCATTAAAAAAATTAGATAATTTGAACTTGATTGATTAATTTATAAGCGTTGCATAGGTACTGGTTAATCACGGTGTAGTCAATTGGTCAGCATAAAATATTAAAAAAAAACTTTAAAAAATAACTTTTAATCAATATTTTATTAGCAAAATTAATTAAATTCTTTGTTTGTCACGGTTTTATTTCATTCTCACAATTGTAATTAATTTATTTTCCAAATTTAAATACCATAATTTAAGAAAATTGTGCAATTTGCAAAAGTTTTTGCATATTAAACTATGGAATAAATGCCGGTGTTGTCAAATTTCAATTTAATTAAAATGTTAAAACTATTAAAAAATATCAATTCGTAAAGAAAATTAGATATTTTGAGCTTAATTGATTAATTTATAAGCGTTGCATGGGTACTGGTCATTTATGGTGTGGTCAATTGGCAACATAAATAATAACATAAACTTTAATAATTAAGCTTTGATCAATTTTTTATTAGCAAAATTAATTAAATTTTTAATTAATGACGGCTTTAATTCATTCTTAGAGTTAGAATTAATTTTTATTTCTATTTTAAGTATCAAAATATAGGAAATTTGTATAATTTTGCGAAATGAATACATGTATTGTCAGAATTTATTTTAATTAAATGTTAAAATATTTATAAATATCAATTCCTAAAAAAAAAAAAAAAAAAAAAAAAATGGATATTTTGAACTTAATTGATTAATTTGTGTGCATTGCATAGGTACTGGTCACATACATCGTGGTCATTTAATCAGCATAAATAATAAAAAAATGCTTAGGCTTAGGCTTAGGGTGTACTTAGGCTTAGGCTTAAGCATTATTTCAAATCTAAAATTGATTTTGGTGAAAATTTTATAATTTCCAAGAGTTTTTGTATATTAAACGGGGAAATAATTTCTAGTCCTATCAATTTTGATTTCAATTAAAATGTTAAAACTATTAAAAAAATTAGTTATTTTGAAGTCAATTGATTAAATTTATGCATTGCATGGATAACGGTCAGTTACGGTGTGGTCAATTGACAACATAAATTTCAATAACTAAGCTTTTTTTAATATTTGAGAAGCAAAATTAATAAAATTTTTAATTTGTCGTAGATTTAATTCATTTCTGCAGCTAAAATTAATTTTTGTTTGAAATCTTAAGATAGAATTTTATGAAAGTTTAATGATTTGCAATGAATCAAAACCTTTTTTGTATATTAGACTTTTTTTCTATAATTCCTAATAATATCAAATTTTACATTAATTAAATGTAAAACTGTTAAAA